GGATTGTCTTGATAATTGATTTGTGCTAAAGACCTTCAGTATTGTAAAAATATCCGATAAATTGTATCAAAAGTCATTAATCAGCTCATCGCTTTTTTACGTGGATACACTCATAGTATACGGTGTAATACGTTCGTAATACGGTGTTTCGAGCCCAAATCAAATCAAACCTTTTGTGGCAAAACTCTACCTTACCAGACTAGACAATATTGGACTTCTTAAGTGTTTTTTCATGTTCACCTAACTATTGACAAATGGGCAAGCAAATTGATTCACATCAGTGTTCAGGCACGTGCATGCCCAGTGAAATCATGCGTCAAATTATGCAACGCTCAGTGAAAACAGCACGCATGCTGCATACCGAGCATTTGTGGGTAAGATTTGTGACAGTATTCCCTGTGGCACACTGGCCAAAACTCGTCAGATAGGTAGGCCAAACTTGAATAAAATTATGTTAATTTTTAATTGAGTAATAACTTAAAACTCAACTCGTACCTATAGGCGGAAGCCAGTGACCGAACCTCTTTGATGTAATGATTTATAGAAGCCATTTGGATTAGATTGACTTACTTTCTTCTACATGTGGATATAAATCCAACGTCTTTACACAAAAATCTATCGATCAATAAAACATGGCAAGCCCAAAAATTGGGACAAATGATGAAATCGTTGCTAATTCACGTTTCAATAATCAGTTATATCATGTAACTGTTTCAAAATATGCAAAATAGCCACATAATTACCCACTACGACAAAACTTGTTAATTCGCTCCATTTTTAGATCACATTAGTGTTCTCAAAATGGTATAATTATTATATTAAGATATGTTCCCGTTACTTTTTAGCGATCTTCTTCATACACGACAACGTAATTTCAAATTCCACTTCGTATTCGTACAACGCACACTTTCATTTTATTTCGTTTTTATTTTCACTGCAAAGTATTCTGAATGAACTTGACCCCATTTTCGGTCATTATTTTCTTTCCAAACTTAATGAGTTCAACAAACTTTCTTAACTCACGTAGATAACTATTACAATTACAAATTAGGTTTTAATATAATTTTATATTAAAATTCAGAAGGTAACAAAATGGTATCTGATTATTTTAACTTTTGAACCAATCTATTTCATCACCTCATTATATGACCTACCTTGAGGATGGAATTACATTTAAAAGAACCTCTGTTGGACATGCAAACATTAAATATTTTAATCTGTTATACATAAAGCTGTCTTGACATGACCTTTTCATCCAATCGAAGGTTTAGATGAATCGATGTGAAGATTGATACTAATTTATTTATCTATATGCAGAATCAATTAAAGTTATAGCACTTAATTATAATTAACTCAACACCTATGATAGTTACTTCGCTCCGAACTTAACAGGAACCGGATCCCATGATAAGTATTCTTAAAAATTAACGCCCCGTAACGTCCGTAGTTATTCAATTAAAATATAAGGAAATGCCCAGAGTAATTTAACACCGCGCACCATTTATCAGTAACTATAGGTACGTGATCTGTCATTTAACCATAAATTACTTTTACCCTTTTTGCGAATGGACATGGAATGCTACTTTTCTCGCTGTATTTAAATTAATTGCAGCCATAATAGCATACACAAAGTTTTGTAGCTATTACCATATTAATACTGATGTTATTTCTCTTTGTTATTATTATAATGGCCACCTTCACCTTTGTAGTGATAAGTTTTTACGTCACACATTAGCGAACTAATGCTTGTCAATTATGAGTGAATACAATATTAACGATTGTAAAACTAACTAAACGTCCTCGTAAATTATGCTTAAGGGCTGATAACATATAACCTCCTTTATTTGGACTACAATTGTTACAATGGTTGTGCAAACAGCTAACCAAAGAAGGCTCAATGGCGATTTGTTGCTGTGCAAAAGCCTATTTGCAAAAATTACATAATTAATCATTTAAAAGTTAATATTGTTCGCCGTAGAAACAGTGACGTCATCACTTGATTTGTTGCTGAACCACGGTTCAGAAATCGGATAGCCTGTTTATGAAAGTCACCCTTATTCAGTCTACTAGTAAACCTAGGTACTTAAAAGGCAATAACAGACGGACAGGTTTAAAGTTGGATGCCTTTACTTTCAAGGTGACCTTAATAAAACATTAACAGTTTTTTAAATAAATAATTAAAACAACTGAATCAATAAAGTAATTCTAGTCATTTCAAAAACTTTGTATCACTAGTCGAATGCGAATTTTTCAGATTTTAATGTTTCAAATCTCAACGGATCTCGTAGCGTGCGCATAGATTAAATCTAGATTGCCTACTGATAGCTAGACAGTCATTGTAATCAATTTGCTACCGTAGATATTATGTAGAGATAACTGGCATCCTAGTGTACGGAATGACGTGTTTCCTGCGGGCACAATCGAGCGACAAGTCTGTGTGTTACGGGTCGATAACGTTTGACAATCACGAAACATAGACAGTTCATTGCTGAAGCTTTGCTACTGAATGCTTTACATGCCTAAAGATGTCTTAATGTTATTCTTGTACTAGCAATTACGTTGACGTCCTCTGAAGGACATTAGGTACTTGTGTAATGTAATGTACTTTATTTATATGATACCTATAGTAAGGATAAACATAGGACATAATAATAATTTATTAGGTAAATGTTTCTGAAGCTTTATGTTTTTTTTTTGCTTTTATCTAGGTATTGTATTTGCAATTCTTGCTCGCATTTAACTATGACCAAATGTTATCTACGATTATCGTCTATTTAGTGACCAATCGGCGTATATTTGCAGTGCTATGACGTCATTCTGCGTTGTAGGTCAGCCATGATTGGAAAGCCACACACCTTGGCCAATGGTTCCAATTAGTAGATACCTACTAAGGTTATCTAATGGCCCTTAAAACAAATTGCTGGCCTTATCCGTTTGTCTAGTTGTTTTTCTAACTTTGCTTTGACCTCAGGTTGGTAGGTTCATTAAACATATTGTATAAACATATTGTATGAAAGGCTAGGTAAAAAAAAGTCATTTGTATGCAATCTACAAATACATTAAAACATTTATTGGAATGACATTTTTAAAATTTAAAACTAATGCTTTAGTCAATATACAAAAACTATTTTTTAAAACAAAGTTTACCACTAAACACTTTGAAACACTGACTGTATGACAAATACAGAATATAAAAGTCTTAACTTAACTAAGTAGTTAAAATGTTTAAAATTCTTAAGTAATGCAGTCCTCTAATGTACTTAAATATTTACTTCCTTTTTTGTTTCTGGCTGACACAAGGCAAGGACATTGGCAGAGAAAATTGTTGATAATAAAAGTAAAAGAAAAAGAAAAGGAAATGCACACAGGAATATGCTGATATGAGTAGAGGGAAGAGGTGAGGCAAGTGCGGAGGAGGCTTCACAAACACAGTGCCCACAGTCAACAAGATCATACCGACCACAGATATCACAAAAATAAGACTCAAAAAGGTCAGCACATGAGAGGTATCCTTTTTATTCGGATACAAAATCTTATTCACTCTATTAGCATTGAAAATTGAGAAATATCCTGAATTGGGCTGCGATAACTTTAAACAAATGCTATAAAATGAAGTGTAGATTACAGTGGTTGCAATGAAAGGTAGAAGAAGACCATCTTTGAGTAACAAGGGGAGCATACTAAATGTAGAGACTAGTAAGAACCAGAAACACATGAATGGATCCTCAGGGAAATATAACGCTACTGGTATAGCTGCTAATAGAATAGATTTTTCATGAACCTGGAATGAGAATAAGAAGAATGCAAGGGACACATTTATCAAGCACGGAACAAACTTCTTGATGTTGATCCTAAAGAATAAGTCAGCACAAGCTGGACCCGCAGCCATGGCCGTTATCAATAGACAAGTCTTTGCCATCTCTTGGTTACTGTAAATAGTCTTCAACTTAATAAAGACATTTACCATACACCACACATTGGACACTTTATCTTCAAAAATACCTCTATCCAAAGGAAACAACCTGTGTACAAGCTGGAAAACATGTTCCCAACCTTTAAGGAATGGATACCAAATAATTACAAAGGTAGCGATCACTGCAACAGCAAGCTTATTGAAGCAGCGGATAAAGTGGGACAGTTTGCCTCTACCCAGCGGCATACCTATAAAACATTTCCTTAACAAATAGAAGAAAAATGGCAGAGCATGGTACAGTTCCATTTGCTTATAGTTCAGTGCAAAAACAAAAAATATAGTGGCTAAAGTATCATTCTTAATTGCTATTATAAAGAATGTTGCCCACAAAAAGAAGCCAAGAGACACACAATTGTACTGAAAGTGACCGTAATCAATCAATATTATGCCTGGATACAGTAAAAATAATGTGGTTGATATGTCTGTTCTTTTCAGAACACACTTTGGCTCTTTAGGTTCTTTACCAAGCACTCTTTCAGCATCAATACAAATGCACAGCACTGCAGTTACATACAAATAAATGTCACTGAGAAACACAGTCCATCTCATGAAGGTTTTATGCGAGTCGCTTTCGTAACCTCTCGACGCAAATAGACGCACCGATTCTGGTTCCAGCCAGTCCGCCACCAGCCCCATGAGCAAACTGTGATATGCCGTCAGTGGTGGGTAGTCTAAGCCCCAGTACTGCAAATCATTCTGCGTCGTATTATGATACCATTTAAGAACGGGTGTATGCACAGTTATTTCTTGCCAATGTCTCTGCGCTTCAAAATCACCATGCATTGGAGGTTTTTTATATCCAGAATAAGGATATGCAGCCACGCACCATCTTACAAGCAAGGAGAACAATATACCCGGTAGTAACGCCTGTTTTGTCACAGTAAATTTATCCGGGTCCGCTCTTCGCGTCATTGTACTTCAATATGAGGTTATAAATTCAATACAAGCACTTATTTTCATTTAGAAATTACATAAACTTTACAACGCGGCATAGGAGGTTCGATAAAATTTTTGACAGATTACTTACGACGTGAACGGCGTCCAAATCCTTGGTCAGCTTCTCCTTCAAATATGCCTCGGTATACACCATATTTTTTGATCAAAATCCATTTAACGTGAAACAAAATACCATGCACGGTTCCCGAAAATTATTTAACACTTTTTAATGGAATTTGCAACAAACGAAAACGGGTTTGATTCACACAAGTAATGAATTTTTCGAAAGTGACAAAACGAGAAAGCGCCTCACGAAAGTGAAATTGCGGTCGCCGAACTGACGAATTTCACACCGGACGAGTTCCCATATGTATTAACCAACAAAATTAGATAATCGCCAACGAATGGTCAAAGTTCCAACAATATGTGGGTTATAGAATTTAGTTGCTTAACCGTGACCTTGACCACTACTATCCGATATCACTGGATACTTTTATACTCATGTTCTTTTCGATTTTCTCACCATTATTATGGATACGAAATATTTCTAAAAATAATAAAAAATCACATCAATTGCATCAAGAAAAATAATTATTTAAATATTATACATATTTAAATAATTAAATTATTTACCAATGATAATTTGATATATAAGTTATTTTTCTATTTTTAAATTTGGTACGCACACAGTGTTGTAAGCGTGAATATTTTAGCCAAGGAATATAACTACTTTCTAGCTCTACAAGAGATTTTAGCTAATTAATTTGTGCTACGCTTATTACTTAGTTTATTGAAGTGCGGACTTACAATATTAGTTACTAAAAATTAATTAATTATATTTTATTTTTCCTTGTTAATGATAAATTAATTTTAAGATCAAAAACCTAGTATTAAAATTGTAAGTAATAGCGCATTCACTGCTCTGAATGTGTCTGTAAATATAATGTTTTTTTTATCTTACCGTAAAGTTATGGCGGGTAATTAAATCTAATAAGATTCCTCCGTCTTAACAGAACAGACGGATATAGTTCTTGTGTACTGGAAAATCCAGACACTCAGCAAAGATTAAAAAAATAGAAAATACCAGGTACAACAAAAAAACTTATGATTGTTATTTCTTATTGCAGCCAAAGAAAGTAGCTATATTCAAGTAATATAGTAAAAAATTAAACCATCACGACTCACATTCGCATTCATTTACATTTTATTCCAGTTTGTTATACAACGAGAATCAACTAAATAAACGTTTTTCGTCTAATCGTTACCTAGACTAGTGCGACACTAGCTGCAGCTGTCAAGTTGACAAGTTGACGCTGTTTAATGCAAATGTGACAGACAGATATTTTTCCCGCTTTAAGAACCAACCTTTCTACGGACCATAGAAAAGTAAAATTCCTTCATATTCTAGGAAAAAGAAAAAAAAGTCTTTCTCGACGAGAGTTGTAAAGAGATTTACATTGTCAGGGGAACCTATGGGTTATTAATACACGGTGTCCGGCAAAGAATAGATAACCTTGAAATGCCTTTTAGTATATCCTTTGGCCATTAACATTTACCGTCGTTGCCGTCCTTTCATATAAAAAATAGGTAAACGTAGTTTCATTTCGGACAGACAATTCGGTTTGTTCGAGTATCAAGCTCGAGGTGCGTAGCCGGTGGCAAGACTTCTTGACTAATTAAAGACGTCGATAAGGTAAGAAAGACGAGTAGGTACCGATATGTAGACGTGGTATCGTATCGGCGAGCAAGTGAGGACTGAGAGTCAATCGCAGCAGTCACATATATTATGGTCGTAGGCACCATGTGACTTTAGGCACATGGGTTCCGAACGGGAATAGCAACTGAAGTGCTGTCACTTCTGTCAAATCAAAACATAGAAATCGACCTCCTCGATTCGGCTAAAGATTTCGACATAGTGGACTCCTTCTTGAGGAACTGATGACAATAGATGTTAGGTGGAGTCCACTACAGTTGTTTAACCTTTACTTAAATATTATGCATAACCAATTTATAAAAATAGAGTATCTGCAAAGCGATCGTAACAGAAAAACATTTGGTGTTACACAAGGTAGTGTTTTTGGTCCTACAACATTTAATTTTATGGTTATATCTGAATATCGGCACTATAATTTCAAATGTCAATGATATAGGGCTAATTTTTTATGGTGAATTCGGAGACAAAATATATTGCACTCTCCAAAAGCCAGGTACGTAAATTATGTGTTAATGTCATGAAAAAGTTACGAACTTCTGCCCTTTGAAAATTCTCATATGCGTGCGTCATGGTTACCGGTGTGGGCCTCGATCTCGTCGTTACGCATCTAAACAATCATTGAGTGGTCAGTTAGTGGTCAGAGGGTAATGGAAAAGTGGTTGCTAAAAGCGCAATACGTATGCATCCGATACAAACCCTTGGAATGCTGCGCTACACTACTCATTTACTAAATGCAAGAAAAATGTTTGATCTCATTTTTCTGCTTTGACACTGAATCACTTGTACAGTGGGCACCTCATTCCCTATACTTATTTATATGCTTTGATAGGGATCAAAACACATTTACACCCCATACACAAAAGCACCTAATGTTAGTTCTAAGAAAATGTTTTATGTCGGTTTTCTGTGAGGCCGTGGTATCATGTGTGTCGAATATTGTTTCTTTCTGAATTTATTTTACATTTGCGATTTCTTTTTAGTTTTGTATCATTTTAGTGGTTATATTTTGTAATTAATATTATATTTGGTACCAAACTTCCTAGAGCCACGGGAGACATGCTTGGTGTTGTTTTTGGCTCAATGATTACGTGTGTTAATGTCATGTTAAGTTTTGACAAATAAAGCAATTTTATAATTATTAGATTTGTAATCTTTTTTTCATGTTTGTTTGAGTATTTTTTTCTAGCTGCTGATTAAGTAATAATAAATTCGTTTTCGATTTGCAATGAAAATGGAGGGAGAGAGTTCTCCATTAAAAAGAAATTTGACCGAGTGGAGATTTAGCCAATATCCAAAATATATTTTGTTACCAATTGATGAAAATCATGACCAAATTAAATCGAATATAAAGAATGTCGTCTTTTCTGAGGTAGACTAAACCTAACTTAAACTCTAATGACGAAAATATCGACTATCAGTCCTAATTTATCTAGATATTCATATATATCTATCTATGCGCTATTAGGTAACTCCTCGACCTCTAGAACGGAACATAAGATTGGTATGCGCGTCACAAGATGCTTTGACCAACATCTTGGACATGGACCCGGATATAGCCAACCGTGAGGAATTCACGGAATTTATCGCCGGACGGAAATTGCCTTATGGGGCATTGCCTGTGGCGCACAGGTACCAGAAACTACAGAGACAGTATTTCTTTTCTGCAATTGATTTATGAGATGCACGCAATGCAACAAGGCAGGTTGGCGAGTCTACGTTGTTTCTCAAAGGAATGTTTATTTCAGGTATGGTGGTCATCAGTACGGATTGTGGGTTGGTCAACTGGGCGATGGTAGGGCTCATATTCTCGGAGAATATGTAAACAGGTAAAAAAAGTAGAAATCGTGACAAGCACTACCAGATGCTCCGTTTCTTAGTTTCTTATTTTGCAGACGTGGTGAAAGGTGGCAAGTTCAGTTGAAGGGATCCGGACAAACTCCCTACGCTCGCGTCCATGATGGTCGCGCGGTGCTTCGCTCTGCTATCAGGGAGATGATTGCTAGTGAAGCTTGTTATTTCCTCGGTATACCTACTACCAGAGCTGTGGGATTAGTAGGTAAGGCGTGTTTTAAAACAAATGGACAGAAAACCAAATTTTATTAATATATTGTTTTACAAGGCTATGTCATTTTGACCTTCTTAACAAATTAGGTTCAAATGCATGAAAATAAGTATAGAAAAAAATCCCATCAATTTAACACCTACATCACCAAATCAAGTTTAATGACCAATGCTAAAAATAATAATTTCCGGAGATTGAAAATGGATGTTGCGAAATTCCGACACAAAGCTTCAATTACAGTGAGCGACGAAGCAATAGTCAGGGACGTGTATTATAACGGATGTCCACGGCGAGAACGAGCAGCTGTCGTGCTGCGCTTGTCTCCGAATTGGTTCCGCTTCGGCTCCTTAGAGATTTTGTCGAGAACTGGCGAGATCGCTGTACTTAGACAACTTTCAGATTTTATTATAAAGGTTTGTCAACGAAGCATACGATCAATTTTTACAGATCCATCTGTAAATATTATATTTATCAGCTTAAAATCACCTTCACCGTCTGATCAATTTCAGGAGTATTTTCCTGATATTCAACTGTCTGATGAGAACCGTTTCATAAGAATGTTCTCTGAGATTGCTCATAAAACTTTGGATCTGGTTGCAAAATGGCAAGGTAAGTAACATTGAAGTAGTTCAGTCTAGCAAAAATAATCGTCTAATATCTGTTCGATTACAGGTCTGGGTTTTACTCATGGGCTCCTGAACACGGACAATATGAGTCTCATAGGCTTAACCGTGGATTTTGGTCCTTTCGGTTTCGTAGACTCTTATGATGGAGGTTTCGTTTCCAATTGTTCTGATGGAGAAGGGAGATATGCACTGGCCAAACAACCTGATGTAAGGCAAAATAATTGACATAATGTAGGTACGTAAAATTGTAGTAAATAGTTTATTGAGATACTGTTTTCCAATACTTAGGTGGTGGTATGGAACATAGGACAGCTTGCTAATGCTTTGAAGCCACTTTTGACTTCCTCACAACAAGTTCACATGTCGCATATCTTGAAAACCTTGGACACTTATTGCAAAAATAAAATATTGTAAGTACCTACACAAATTGTTCTTATAATTTTTTTGTCTGAGTCAGGTTATTTCAGACCTGTCTATTAACAAAAAGTCTTCTTGTCGTAAGCAAAGATGTGGTAGTAACAATCATCGATATGAAATCGTAATCACTTCCATATCTTTTGCCGTCAGAGAAACATTCCTTATGAAGATAGGTTTGAAAGAAGAACAATGGGGTGACGAGCAGTTAGTAGAAAAGCTTTTGGATATGATGCAGCAGACAGGAGCGGATTTTACAGCCACCTTTAGGCAGCTTGCTGAAGTATGTTAAAGATGTGTTTAATTATTAGGTACTAGAGAAAGTGTAAAGTTCCAAGAAAGTTTCTAATTCACCTGTTTTCATTTAAACAACAATAATAGCTGGAACCATGTGAAATGGTAAGCGAAATCAAGCTTGGGGAGAAATGGTCGTTGAAGCGTCTTTCATCTCATGCTTCATGGGGTTGCTGGCTAGATCAGTATCGTGAGCGACTTGTCAAGGAAGCCGGTAAGAATTAAATTAATTTATTCATTAACAATTTTCATTACGCTTTAATTTATATTTATATATCAGAAATACTTGTAGCTGTCCACAGCAGTTCTAAAATATTTGCGATTAATCGTCTTTTACTAACTTTTAGACTTTCGCGTTTCATATTTACAACATAAATACGCGGGTATTAACGCGAAAATAATTATCTAAATACTTTGGTAGGCTTGACGTTTCGACCTGGTTGCACAGATCGTGGTCACAAGCAGACTGAAGATGCGACGTTACAGCTGCAGCATCGCATTCGGGCGATGAATCTTCATATTCAATTAATTCAATTTCTACCACATAAGGCCGTCTACACACTACACTGACCGTATCCACAGATGTGTTAAATGACTTTGAAGAATCTAATCTTAATCGTCTTTTTGCGTACTATAGGTGTTTTGCCAGTGAATAGTCGTGATTGCGCGGTAACTGCAGTCGATGCCAGCTCCTCAGGTATGTTCGAAGACGAAAGGCGCCGGCGTATGCTCAGCGTGAATCCTGTGTATGTGCCAAGAAACTGGCTGCTCCATGAGGCAATTGTTGATGCAGAGCAAGACGATTATCGAAAGGTTAATTTATTTTTCAATTGAGCCTTGAGAACATTTTCGTTTAGCTATCATTTATTTGAATGTTTTTTTATCTTCCTAGGTTCGTTTTTTACTGGAAGTTCTTAGAAATCCATTTGAAGTGCAGCCCGAGGCAGAAAAGCGAGGATTTTCAGCTCAACCACCGCAGTGGGCGTATGCTCTTAAGATTAGTTGCTCCAGTTAAATATTTTTATCTTAAATAAATATTTATTTGTTTTGATATCTATTTATTTTTCATGTTATAATCTCAATTTCGCCTTCACGTTGTAATCTGCAGAGAAACCTGTATTTTTGCGGTTTCATATTAGAAGTACTACGCGCTACCTAATATTTAATTATCTGGACTAAAGATCTATAAAAAAAACAAAGTGTCACGATGACCCAGCAGTTGACATTGACATCTCTAACATACTAGACTGTTAGCTTTGGAAAATGGACTTTACTCAATACACCGAAAGTATAAATTACTAGGTTGGTCAGAAGTCATCAAAATATTGTGAATAAAAACATTCATCTATCTTTGAGGTCCGAAAAAGTTATTACTAATTATTATATTTGTCGGTAATGAAGCGATAACTAATCTTCAAATACGTAAATCAATATATATGTGATATTTTATAAGTTGCTCAATGAAGCGAGCATTCTGTGTGTTAGCTGCTCTTAGAACTGAACAGAAGCAAAGTTTACTTGGTAATATGGTACTAAAAAGTAATTTTAAGGAGTGGAAGTTCCGTAGCACTCCAAACTACGCGGCTTTGCCAATAGATGGGAACCCTGAGTATAATGTGCCAACAGCAGTGAAGGATGCAGTGTTTTCTAAGGTAAGAGTGTTGTATAATATTTCATCATTATTTTGTTTATTAGGATCTGAATTGGGTTCTAGACTTAAGATAGCCTGAGAGACTATATTTAATGTAGCATAGGCGTGTATCAGCTGTTGCTTCCAACAACAATTTTCTATTGATACTTAGTTTAGAAAGCAAATATTTGAAACTAGCTTGTGGCTTCTGCTTCAAATTATTAAGTAATCCAGACTATAATCGATCTGTTGGCCAAATTTCACACAGATCCATTCAGTTTTATGTATAAAAGAATACCAAACATCTATTCATATCTTTTTGTCCATGTTTGGTGTCTCAAGTGTCCAAACAACCATCTATCCATCCATACTTTCATTTCTATAATGCTAGTAGGATATGGATACAAATAAATTTTGTATTGAATGAATAAGCAGCTATGTGCTGTGGATGGAAAAATATTTTTGGATATAAGCTCATACTGAAGGTTCAGGCATTCTAAAACTAAAACAATGTCAACAAAACAGCAGAAATGTTCTTCAACTTCTTGATTATATTTCTAGGTACCAACAGAGCCACTAGCGGGAACATTACACTTGGTATGTGCATCTGATGATGCCCTCACAGACTTGTTGGACCTGCACCCCAGTGTAGCGGAGAGTGAAGAGTTCATTAACTTTGTTGCTGGTGCCTATCTGCCTGAAGGAGGACTCACTGTATCACATAGGTATGTCATCATCACCACTCAACCTAAACTGGCCAGGACTGAGCGAAAGCCTCTACTCAGACTGAGAACTGGCTCTTTATAACTTGCTCAGCGCAGATTGGTGACTATTAGGTGCTAGGAAATTGAGGATCCCTCAGGATTACAAAGGACTGGAAGCAAGAATTGTTTCACACTTTCAAATGTGTGGGAGTTATGCTTCGCCACGAATGGGTCAGCTCTACCGGAGTGCATTTGGTTTCGCCGTGTGAATGAGGTTACTGAAGACCCAGAGTCCTTGCCCTCTTCCCATCCCTTCCCAATCCTTTAACATTCTAAACCCTAATCCCCTAAAAGGCCGATAACGCGGTCGTAACTCATTTGGTGTTGCGGGTGTCCATGGGCGGCACCGACTGCTCATCATCAGGTAATCCGGTAGATCGTTTGTCGACCTATCCCATAAAAAAAAATTAGGGTTTTTTATTAGGTTTTGGTATCCTATGTATGTCTCCTGGCGACGCCGATGGCCGACGCATGACTCATTACTGTCCCACGTATTTTTTTATGCTAATAAGAATATGTGTACAAGTGTACAAAACAAGCAATCAATATCTCTTTCAACATTAAAAACGAAGTAAAAGTTACATAGTTCATTGTTTATGAATTAAAACCTAATAATGTATCTATGTATAACATGTTGAAAACAAATGACTGCACCATTTATGTGGTGGATTTTGCCTAATACCTAATAATCGTAACTAATTGTCATTGGGTGCACTTCCATAGATCCTACAGAGATAATTGCCAGTGATGACCAATTGGACTAATATTAAGAATACGGCCCGTCATACGCCATCCAAAGATCCTGTGGTAAAAAAAATTGCATGACAGTGAAATTCAATGAATGACAATCGTTCCCAGATATGGAGGGTACCAGTTTGGACATTGGGCTGATCAGCTCGGAGATGGCAGAGCTCATATACTCGGAGAATATGTAAACAGGTGTTTGCTTGAATCAATTATATTATTTACTAGCTACTCTCGCGCGGTTTCACCCGCTGCTCGGATCGGTGATGTTTAATAGCACTCAGGAACATTGTAGCTACCTATCAGTGAAAGAATTTTAGTAATCCGACCAGTGGTTCCAGAGATTACCCCCCTACATACAAACTTACAAACACATAAACTTACAAATTTTAACCTTTTTATAATATTAGTAATAGATTTAGCTAAATTGCATTGTTAAACATGTCTAGTCGTATTTTTTATTGAAAAAAGATTAATAATCTTTTTATGAGAAAAAACTGTTTATAAAAATTAAGTATTACATCTTCAGGCACTCTGCATGAATAACATTAAAATTTATTAGAAGACTTTTTAAAAAAAAATAACTATCGATGAATCTGGCAACACTGCTTCACATTTAATTAATTAACAGCAAAGGTGAATCCTGGCAGCCCCAATTGAAAGGGTCGGGGGAGACACCATACTCCCGGTTTGGTGATGGTCGCGCAGTCTTACGGTCATCTGTTAGGGAGATGGTGGCATCGGAAGCTTGCTACCACCTAGGCATACCCACCACGAGGGCGGCCGCTTTGGTAGGTAAGGTAGCTATTTTGTATTTACAAATAATTTATTTGTAACATGATGTAAATTAAAAATTATATGTATACACTCGTTTCGCAATTACAATGGGTAGCCACTTACCAGTTTTTTGTTTTTAAAGGGCGAAAATCATGAATTTTAAGTACGGAAGAGCCATGCTTCGGCACTAATGGGTCGGCTCGACCGGAGCGATACCACGGTCTCACAGAAAACCGGCGTAAAACAATCACAGCGTTGTGTTTCGCCGTGTAAGTGAGGTTACCGGAGGCCCAATCCTTCCCCTTCCCCAATCCCTCCCCAGTCCCTAAATCTCCAAATCCCTCTTTACTAAAAGGTCGGCAATGTACGTGACTCCTCCGTTGCGTTTGTCCACGAGCAACGCTGATTGCTTACCATCAGGCAATCCGTCTGCTTGTTTGCAAAAAAAATACTTCTCTCACCCAGGGTGAGGTGAAAGAGAAAGTCAGACTTACTGACTAAAATCCCACCCGTTCCTTCTCCTGCTTCGGGCTGCGGTACCTTATAGCGCTTACCCCGCAACCCCGGCTGAAGATCAACTTTATTGAACCCCATCTGTGGGGGTATATTGGCTTAAATAAAAGGGCTTGCACCAGGGGAGGCTAGAGACTTTAATCCCAGACCTAGACGCTCCCCTAAATTTGTTGCCACAGGCCGTCGCTCGATTAGAGCCCCTCTCTCACTGCTCACAACCCCGGCACTGCCTACGGCTTCCGATTTGGGTTCACTATAGTTTTTTGAATTTAAAATGTCGTGGTGGCCCGGAGGTGACGAACCCGCTTCTCATGCATGAGGGTGTAGGTTCGAAACCTGGCAAGTACCAATGTGACTTTTTCCAAGTTATATGTACTTTCTATGATTATTTAGACACCACTGACATACGGTGAAGGTAAACATCGTGAGGAAACCTGGACTTATAATTTCTAATTATAAGTTTGAAATCGCCAACCCAAATTGAGCAAGCGTGGTGATTAATGCTCAAACCTTCTCCGTGTGAGAAGACGCCTTTGCTCAGCAGTGGGCACTTATAGGCTGATGATGATGATGACAGTTTTTTGTGAGCAGTCAAAAGCTTAAGGATTAGCAGGAATTAGAGATATGGATTTGGATAGTCCTACAGAACTGTTATTTCTTCCATTTATTCCAGTGAGTGACGATCACAAAGTGTGGCGTGATAAAACGTACAGCGGTCGAGCTAAACAAGAGAGGGCCGCTATCGTGATGCGACTCGCCAACGCCTGGTATCGCATCGGATCCCTCGAGATTCTACTCAAGCGAAGAGAACCACATACATTGAAGTTGTTGACCGATTTCATAATTAAAGTAAGTTTTCTTTTTATTTCTTACTAGCTACTCTCACGCTGTTTCACCCGCTGCTCAGCTCTTAACGATCATACCATGATGTTTTATAGCTTATTAAGCCTTTCCTGGATAAATGGACTAACACAAACAAAAAGAATTGTTCAATTCGAACCAGTACTTTCGGTGATTAGCGCGTTTAAACAAACAAACTCTTTTATAATATTATAAGTACTCATAGATTATAGAGTACCAACAAGCTGTTCCCGTGGTTTACTGTAGCTTAGCAATACTGAAATAATTTTCAAACAGATCAAGTATTTTCGATTCTTCTCCTGCTCTGGGCCGAGGCCGCGGTGACTCATTGCGCTTATCCCGCAACCCCTGCTTGATACGTTAGTTTCCAACTAGTCTAATTTAAATTGATGAATACATTTTTGAGTATTTTTATGGTTTTATTTACATACGTTGAAATAATTTATTTTTGACTGAGGACACTAGCCAATTCTTACCTACAATTTATGTTTATGAGACCTTGTCGTGGCTTGAAACGAGTCGAGCATACTCCGTTACGTTAGAAAACTAATAACTTTGTTCCCTTTTCATTTCACAGCATCATTTCCCTGAAATTGAGAATGCTGAAGGAGACAAGTATGTGAATTTTTATAAGGAAGTGGCTCTTAGGAACCTCGATATGGTGGCGACTTGGCAAGGTATAATAACATTATTTGTTAGAACTTTATACTTTTGAATATGTATGTATGTTTATGAATAAAGGCGGCGAACCTCTCCGGAGGCGAAAGCGCTCGCGTACGTCTACTATTTAAGCGCTGACGCGCGCTGCCGGAGCTAGGATCCTCTGCCGCGTCAAATTAGTGCGAGGCGGAATGAGCTCCGGCGAGATCTCATGGCAGAGTGGAAGCTATGTCTGTCGCAATCGAGGGCCGGGCAGCCGGGCACGCTATTTATAGCTGCAGTATAACCCCTCTTTGAGGAATGGCTTGAGAGACGCCACGGCGTCCTCACCGTCCGCCTGACGCAGGTCTTTACCGGGCACGGCAGCTTCGGTAGGTTCCTGTTTCGGATCCGGCGGGAGGAAACGCCCGCGTGTCGACATTTTGAGGACCACGTAGTGTACCTACTTCTTATAACTGCCAAAAATTTATTGATACCACTGCTCAAATTATGATTTTTTTTTGTTTTTTTTTTTAGGTCTAGGCTTCACCCACGGAGTATTAAACACAGACAACATTAGCCTTTTAGGCGTTACTATAGACTATGGTCCGTATGGGTTCATAGACCATTACTACCATCATTATGTGCCCAACACTTCCGATGACATGGGCCGGTATGCCTTCAATAAACAACCTGAGGTAAGTTAATAATGATTGGATACTTTCTTAAACCAAAAATAATTTATTTTGTCTTTCCAATACAATTAGTTATTTATACAGGGTGGCATTTTGAACGAGGGATATATTTAAGGAGTCCATTTCGTTTTTTGTTTTATTTGAGCAAGTAGAATCGGGTCCTTGATTATGCCCCTCGTTCAAAAGCAAGTAGAATCGGGTCCTTGATTATGTCCGTCGTTCAAAAGCAAGTAGAATCGTGTCCTTGATTATGCCCCTCGTCAAAAGCAAGTAGAATCGGGTCCTTGATAATAGCCCTCGTTCAAAAGCAAGTAGAATCAAGTCCTTGATTAATGATTATGCCCCTCATTCAAAAGCAAGTAGATTCGGTCCTTGATTATGCCCCTCGTTCAGAAGCAAGTAGAATCGGGTACTTGATTATGCCCCTTGTTCAGAAGTAAGTAGAATCGGGTCTTTGATTATAACCCTCGTTCAAAAGCAAGTAGAATCAAGTCCTTGATTAATGATTATGCCCCTCGGTCAGAAGCAAGTAGAATCGGGTCCTTGATTATGCCCCTCGTTCAGAAGCAAGTAGAATCGGGTCCTTGTTTATGCCCCTCGTTCAAAAGCAAGTAGAATCGTGTCCTTGATTATGCCCCTCGTTCAAAAGCAAGTAGAATCGGGTCCTTGATTATGCCCCTCGTTCAAAAGCAAGTAGAATCGGGTCCTTGATTATGCCCCTCGTTCAGAAGCAAGTAGAATCGGGTCCTTGTTTATGCTCCTCGTTCAAAAGCAAGTATAATCGTGTCCTTGATTATGCCCCTCGTTCAAAAGCAAGTAGAATCGGGTCCTTGATTATGCCCCTCGTTCAAAAGCAAGTAGAATCGTGTCCTTGATTATGCCCCTCGTTCAAAAGCAAGTAGAATCGGGTCCTTGATTATGTCCCTCGTTCAAAAGCAAGTAGAATCGGGTCCTTGATTATGCCCCTCGTTCAGAAGCAAGTAGAATCGGGTCCTTGATTATGCCCCTCGTTCAAAAGCAAGTAGAATCGTGTCCTTGATTATGCCCCTCGTTCAAAAGCAAGTAGAATCGGGTCCTTGATAATAGCCCTCGTTCAAAAGCAAGTAGAATCGGGTCCTTGATTATGCCCCTCGTTCAGAAACAAGTAGAATCGGGTCTTTGATTATAAGTTCAAAAGCAAGTAGAATCGGGTCCTTAATTATGCTCCTCGTTCAAAATTCCATCCTGGTAAAGGGAATTTGTAGTTTAGTGTAGTTACTGCATTCGGTGTATGGCAATACCAATAATTACTCGCGAACTAATTGCTTGGGATTTAAGTTTAGCCGGATTGCCAAAAACTTATTACAATTTGCTAATATTATGTTCTTAATATTACTTAAGATAATGGAGGAAGGTGATCTTGTATCTCACAAAACCTATTATTGTTGTTTAATATTTTTTTCCCCAGATTCTTCTATGGAACTTGGGGAAATTGGCCGAAGCTATGGCACCTATTTTGTCAGCTGAGCAGAAACAAGAGATAGACAATATAGAAGCTACTCTAGAGTACTACGTCAAGACAAAAGTATTGTGAGTTGTTCTTTAATATTGATAAAGATAATTATGCCATTATATATTATATAAATATTTATTTTATTTTTATCACCACCTCCGGCCTATAAGTGCCCACAGCTGAGCAAAGACCTCTTCTCACACGGAGAAGGTTTAAGAATTATACACCACGCTTGCTCAAGGCGGATTGGCGATTTCAAACTCAGATTTCAGGTTTCCTCACGATGTTTTCTTTTACCGTATGCCCGTGGTATCTGAATAATCATAGAAAGTACATATAACTCGGCAAACGTCACATTGGTACTTGCATGGTTTCTCATACATGAGATGCAGCGACTATTAGAATTGTTTACTTTATTTTAGGAAAACATATCTTCACAAGTTGGGGCTTGATGAAATTAAAGATGGCGATAAAAAATTAGTGCAGGACCTACTTGAAGTTATGCAGTTAAAAATGGCTGATTTTACGGCTACATTCAGGCAACTTGCTGAGGTAGGTAAAATTAGTTTTTTTATGTGGTAGGACGGTAAACGGGCAGACGGATTATCTGATGGTAAGCAATCGGCGTCGCCGACGGCCACTCGCAACATCAGAAAAATTACAAGGGCATTAATTGGGGAGTTTCCTAGGTCAAAAATCAATTAATTCGATGTTTTAATACAATAAAATATTGAAAAATAACTATACTTTTCGTAATTTTTTTTACAAGTTTTTTAGAAATGAGTATTTGTAAGTAGCCGTTTGACTCAAAAATTCAATAGAAAAGTACTGTTTTTGACATTTGGATAAAAGTATTGAATATGACTAGTTGAAAACTACCGTGTTATATTTTTCTAAGACTGTAAAAGATCACGTTAAGACCGACAGAAGCTGACTAGCGGGTAGAACCTGTCGTGCAGTAATCTTCTTATATATAAAAATGGATCGCAAAATGTGTTGGTAGGCGCATAACTCAACAACGCCTGGACCAATTTTGCTAATTATTTTTTTGTTATGTTTCTCATTGTCAGGAGAAGGTTCTTATCAAAGAAAATATTAGAAAAGTAGAGGGGAAAATTGGAAAAAAGTAACCCTTTGATAGCGAGATAGTTGGACCCGTCCGAAGCAGGGGCGGGCCGCTAGTAACGAAATAAAAACGCTTATTATTATGAATCTTTATATTTATTTGTAGGTAGAACCACAACACTTGTCGGATAAGACAGTCTTGGAGACCAAATGGTCTCTCAGCAAGTTGAGCGGTGTTCCTGCTTGGGACAAGTGGGTCGAATCTTACCAAGATAGACTGAAGAAAGAGAATGGTAATACCTTTTTTTTGTTAGAGGAATGTAATCAAATGACTTCGCTTAAGGAGAGGCGAGAGGAAGTGGGTGATTCTTCACATCAATTAAAAAAAAATTAATAATGTCATTATCCTCAACCGAAAATTAACGAGTCTGCTGATTAAAACACAGATAATTATTTTATTAAATTAAATCTCACCACTGCTTACAAGCAACCGATTAAAAATTACCAAGATGCTTAAAAACCTGGGAGGATAATGACTTGTTAAATAAAAGTAAAGGTTTTTTGGAGAATCACCCAAGTGTCAAACTCTTACTAACTACTACTATCACCTCTCCCCCCATCCATTCTCCTGCTCTAGGCCGAGGCCGCGGTGCCTCATTACGCTTACCCCGCAACCGCGGCTAGAATGGTAACACCTAAGTACTTTATCATTATGAGAATAATAATATAACAACTAGGCTTTTCAATATTGTGCTCACGAGATGGCGCCACTGAGATTTAAGGTACTATTGAAGCAAAGAGTATTTTATTTGTCTAATAGTCCTTAATGTACCTACATTATCGCATCTATTGGTGCAAAAACATCATAGATAAAAGTAGTATCAGTCGCCTCTGACATCCCTGGCGAAATTGTGGCGCCCAAGTAAACTTATAATAAGAAATTCTAAAAAGAGATTGGGAATAAATAATAAAGTATAACAGACTACTGGATAGGATTTGCATCAGGGGAGGCATGAGAATCCAACTCCAAACTTTGGCCCCCCCTATATTTTAACTACTAGTCAGTAGTATAATAACGTTTGTTGTGAAAATTCAAATACATAGATATCCTTCACAATATTTTATTCACTTGGCTTTTTGAGATAGCCATAATTTGTTCTTGAAGTCATATTATAGGTAAAGCTTCGTTCTTCATTTCAGTAACTGAAGAAGAACGCAGGCGTCGGATGGTTGCAGTGAACCCTGTGTATATACCACGCAACTGGATCCTAGAGGAAGCCATCAAAGACGCTGAAAATAATGATTTTGAAAAGGTATTTTTGTCTAACAAACTGCTGTGTTTTGTCTTTTCTAATATCCATTACAAAAGCCCCTAGCCTCAAACCTTCCCTTTACCAGTTCTCAATACCCAAAGAACCCACAAAATTCTGGCAACGAACTTGTAACTCTGTAAGTATCCCTACTTACAGAGTTACAAGTTCGAGTCATGCTTCGGCTCAACCTGAGTGATATCATGGCCTCACAGAAAATCGACGTGAAATTACCACAGCGTTGTGTTTCGCCATGTGAATGAAGTTACCAGAGGTCCAACCCTTCCCCTCCTCAATCCCTAATCCCCAAAAGGTTGGCAAAAACAAAACTGAAATCTGCAGGCCGGAGATGCGATATCAGTAAAATTTGAAAGTCAGTTAGATTTGAAATATTTCGTTTCAGGTACGCTTCTTATTGAAACTGTTCAAGAATCCATATGAAGTGAATGAAGAGGCTGAGAAGCGAGGCTACTCCGCGCAACCACCAAGCTGGTCTTATGGACTTAAACTTAGCTGTTCTAGTTAACACTGCGATTTTCACAATGGTATCTCGGATGCCGCCTACATTTCTCGTATATTTTAGACCGCTATCCCACGGACGTTAATGCTTGCTACGCAACGACGTGGCGATAACGTCACATCAGCGCGGCGCCTAAACGTCTTCAAGTTAGTTACTATTAAAAAAAACAGATTACAAGTATTTTAGAAACGTCAAAGTACAATAATACTCTTTCAGAGAACCTAGGTGAACTTATTGTGTTAAAGGTGTTGGTATACCTGCTTACTGTACACAGGCGCTAAATGTATGAAACTTATACAAGACACGTATGTTTTTTGTTGATATGTAATTTTGAAATAAGCTTCATTAATAATGAGCCAAAATTCTAACTGTAGTAATCAAAATGTAGGTAGGTAATGAATCTGCCCGGGATCTGGTTACGACAGCCGGGGTCGTGGGCCTCGAAAGGGAATGGCGTGGTTATAAGCCAGAAATAGTCTGAAACTCCCTGTCGCTCCATTCAGGACCTAGGTAAAATTTGATGGTTTCCTCTCTCAAAAATAGGGTTTAGTTGCTAAGGTAACGTTAAAAATGACTTTTACATTATTCCGTAAGTTTTGGTTTTGTAGTTCGTCATATTTTCAGCTAGAGGCGCTTCGATCGAATTAAGGTAGTAAGGTCTTCCATGATAAATATTGCACATTCGCCCTTTTAGTTTAGTAAATTATTATAACTAATACAAAAATCACATGGAAGTAAGTACTCACGTTTTGGAATATCATTAGTCTGTAATAATAATTTATCTAATTCCCTCTATGATAATTGATAAGTAATATATTTTGTTTTGCGACATCTATAAAAAAAGGTTTCCATTTTGGAGTTGATTACTCAGATTAATGATAATAATAATAAAATGATATTGAAATATTATTGAGGTATATTTGTGATGAAATTGCCGATTTTGTGATACAGAGAATATCTTGAAAAGATGGTTTAAATATAGAAATAAGATTAAATGAGTAGATTTAACCAAACTTAGCTTAGGAAGCTGAAAATCAATTTATAGCTGAGAAGATGTTATTGTTTTATTTTTTTCTATGAATTTTTGCAAATATATTGTTGTTATTTATGTTTCTTGTTTCATTTACTTATTCCTTGTAAACATGCTAACAAAAGGGGTGAACTAGGCTGTCGGCGATATAAAACGCAGAAATAATACCAAAAATACTGTAATTTAAAATAAATATAACTTTTCATAATGTAGGCATTAAAAAGAAAAAAAAAACTATTTACAATCAACATAATTTCCTTTCTGGTTGTAATGGCCAGCATCGATTTATAAAATATTTATTCATTATTCATAATCTTCATCAGCACTGTCATCAGGTTCGGAGTAATCTTCATCAATTTCTATTTTACGTTTTTTTGGTTGTGGAATATTCTCTTTTTCTTCTTCTAAAACTTTTGGAGCCTCTGTCTGTGCAGATCTGTGGTGGAAAACGAAGGAAATGGTCTTTGCCACATCCCAGCACTGTTTTAAAACTAAATCTGCCAAGTTTTTCTTATCTGCACAATGGTACCAGTTAGACAAATCAGAAGTACAATCAGAATTTTCTGGTGGAAGTGTCACTTGTATGTTATTTACACATCTTTTGCATTTGAACTTGCTGTGTGTATCTGATAAAGTGTTCTCTTCTAGCCTGAATAAATCCTTCAAGTCCTCAGAAGTGAAATGCCTTAGAGATTCTTCATTTTGATCAACTACAGTGTCACTTAGGGCCTTCTTATGTGCTTGTCTTTGGAATATCTTTTCTTCAATCGTTCCTGTTGCCAGTAACCTGTATATGTAGCATGGTTTCTTCTGGCCATCTCTCCATACTCTCGCCATGGCCTGCTCATCATTAGCTGGGTTCCAGTCAGGATCAAACATGATTAGTCTGTTAGCACCAATAAGGTTGAGTCCACAACCACCAGCTTTGGAACTTAGCATAAATATCCATTCCTTATTTTCTTTATTGTTGAAACTCTCAACAACTTTGGCTCTCTTCTTTATTGTCATTGATCCATCTAGCCTTACATACATGTAACCTCTTTTTCTGCATAATTTTTCAAATAAATCCAATGTTTGTGTATAATTGGAAACAAGGACTATTTTATCATCTGTAGTCATCTTTAGGTTAGCAAGTATACAGTCTAAAATCATGAGCTTTCCAGATAACTCTGGTCTGACATCTTTGGAGTCATAATAACTTGGTAAAAGACCCATGGCCTTCTCAAAGCCCTCTGCTCCTTCTACAATCTTCTCATAAACTAAATCTGGGTGATTGCACAATTTCTTAAGAGTAGTGATACTTGATAGAGCACTGAGAGTATTCTTCTCTGCATTACCACTAAACTTATTACGGATAGCATCGGAATTGATGAAGTTCTTGTACAACTGTGTCTGAAGGGGAGTCATTTTACAGCATATGACTTGTTCAAACTTAACCGGTAAGTATTTTGTGAGTAAACTGCTTGTTCTACGGATCATACATTTGTTGACTATAGATGTTAGTGTTGCAAGGCACTCCTGTGCCCTCTCTCTTTCTGATTCTGTTGCTAAGGCATCTTGGCCCTTTAATATTGGATTTTCATATCTCTTTTTAAATTCATGTGCTGTGCCTAATATACCTTCATTCACAAAATGTACTAAACTAAAGTATTCTGTTAAGTCATTCTGTATTGGAGTGCCTGATATCAAAATTCTTTTCTTAGCTTTCAGACCCATCAAGGCTTGGTATGTTTGGTTCTCTGAGTTTTTCAGCCTGTGTCCTTCATCACAGAGAACTAATCCCACTTCAGATGAGTGAAGAATATTGGAATAAATTCTAAATGTTTCATATGAGATAATGAGAACTGGGGTAGCTACTCGTGTTGTGCTGTAGGTGTTCATGTATTGTTGTAGTTTTAGTGTAATTTCAGCTTTAGAACCGCCATCCATGGCTAGAGCATTAATTCTCTGTCCCAGCCACTTGTGGATCTCATTGTACCAGTTCTTGACTAAACTACTTGGGCATACAATGATTGCTTTACAGATTGTAGGTTTACAATCAGGACCTTGTCTCAGTAAAGTCCATAGTAATGTAATACACTGTAAAGTCTTACCTAAACCCATTTCATCAGCCATAATACATCCATAAGCATTCTCAATTTGCTGTCCAGTAACACAATCATACATAAATTTAACTCCCTCTCTCTGGTGAGGTCGTAATACATTTCCTAGCACGGGGTCCACTACCACAGCCACCTTTATGTCGTTAGGGTTCATCTTCATCTTCTCATGTTCAGGTATGTGTGGTGGTTTGTACAAAACCAACGCATTAGGTTCATCAGGATCGTGTAAAGCTCGCCTAACCTGAGTCCTCTTCAAACCCAAACTTTTCCCACAAAACGATGACACATAGTTAGGTATGGGAACTTTGAAAGGCTTACTAAGTATTGCCTTGATTATATTCTCGTGGTCAGAAGCCGCCGACGCTTGAGACGCTGATTTCTGTGTTAGTGGTATCTTCGTACATTCCCGCCGTTTGTTCCGTTTGGATTCTAGTAGCGGGCTTTTGAAAACGCTGTTACTAGAGCCGATTTGACTTGGCGCTTGGCTCCGTCGCATTTTTTACTTTGTTTTACACCATTAAAACACTGAAGTTTGAACAAAATACATGGTTGTCCTGTTGAAACTTGTCGATTCTGTAATTGTTTTGAAAATGCAGATGTGTTTTTAAAGCTTAAATTTTGACATTGACATTACTTGACATTTAATTAAATTGATGCTGTCAAATTTATTTATTGAATGTTGCATGGCATGGAGTGACAAACACAAAGAATTATTTAAAATTCGTTTTACTGTACATGAATTATTTAGGATCTTTACGATAATTATTTACCAACATGTTATACCGTAAAGCCTCCATATCGCGAGGGGATAGTAGAGTAGTATTGTGGCTAATGTCCACGAGCGTTGCCGATCGCTAACAGAAGATCCGCCTGCTCATTTTTCAACTTCAAGAGGGCGTGTCAGGCTCGTACTAAATAAAATGAAAAATCACTCCGTTCCGTCTGCCTCAGGCCGAAGCCGTGGTGCTTGTCGCGCTGCCCCACTGATAAAGATTGGCACCTGAACGCATTAAAAGAAATTATATCAATTTTCCAGCAGCTATAATCAACTGATGGGACACTGAGATATCGCTTTCTGTTTGGGCTAATGCTACTTCCCCCTATATATTACTTTGAAGATAAAATTAACTGTAGACACATTTATATAAAACTAGATAACCTCGCGCGGTTTCACCCGCTTCTCGACTCCATTTAATCGTGGCGTGATGTTTTAAAGCCTATAGCACTCAGGAACATTGTAGCTGTATGCTATAGCGGTTCCAAAGATTACCCCCTACATACAAACTTACCTCTTTATAATATTTGTATAGATATAGATTTTTCTAAGGACGACTATTTATTCGCTTTATAAAACTTTCAGTAACGGTTCATTACCCTTTCCTCTGCCGGTTTAAGACACAATAGAAATCACATTCCCCCTTATGGCAAAGTACGATTTATCTTTAGCCTAGGTTTAAACCATTGAATCAGATTTTATATTTTGAATCTTATTCTCATCTACCCTCAGTTTAAAATACAAAAACTGGCTCAACGGAAATCTGAAAATAAAACCTTGTTTTGTAATAAGACCGATGTGTTTCCAAGATCTATAATAGGTCATAATTATTAGCCATAGACAGGCGACAACAGGCCTACTTTATAAGTTTCTTTATGTTTGGAAAGCGAAAACGGGATAAGGTGACAAGGAAATTAAAAATAAAACAAATAAACCACGACAAAGGTTACAAAAATACTTATATTAAAAAGAAAACATGTAACAAAAACTTTCTCTTACTTTTTAAGTTACAATCGGTATCTATGTGTTTAGTACATAAGTACTATACTAGCATGATTCATCACAGACAAATTTAAAACTTAATTAAAGCATACTGGATTAGATTTTACAGTCCTAAACAATTTGGGACATACACATTACTTTAAATTAAGAAAGTTTTTTAAACCTTACACACGCAAAGCAACATAATCCATGATGCGAAAACACTTAATTTTAATAACACAACATTAAAAGAAAAGTAAATTAAGCTGAAATAAAATTTCAATTGAAATAACCCTTAGGTATATTAAATAAGTAGCATGAATTCGAACTTATTAGTTGAACATATACAGGTGCTGAAAGGCACAAATCTGTCTATAAATATTTGTGCATAGAGAATTTTTTTTTAATATTGGCAATAATTTTTATATGTCATAAGGCATAATAGTATAATCACAATAATTTTATGGACATATTACGAGTAATATTTGAAGTTAAATACCGAAATAATACATGTTTCTGGACAGATCCTTTGCAAAGACCTAATCACGTGACTTGGCACCTATTACATAGTTACGTAGATTAATATTTAGTGAATCATCAGGTGTAAAGTGACGTCATTACGTCCCGAGTCATTTTGTAGCCTCTTTCATTAGCCGGATGTACACCACAGACAATTTTGGGTCGCCGATCGTTACCGATCATAAGATCTTGGATCGGTGATTAGGGGTCGCAATCCAAAACCTACGATCGTTTCTTGTTGATCCAGCTGCAGATCCAGTTGATAAAGTAGAAAAGGCTGATACAGATACGCGTGTTTTTTATGCAGGGCGTTATTTTGCACGAGGGACGTATTCAAGGGCCCTATTCTGATGTGCAAATAAAACAACTTTTTCCATAAGACCAACCACCAGAATCGGGTCCTTGACTATGCCCCTCATTCCTTGTATAATAGATAGCAGTATATATAACTTACGTCTCGCCTGATGTTAAGCAAAAACCGTAATCTAAGAACACTTGCAACACCAAAAGTGTCACAAATAATTCACTTTTCGCAGCTTGGATCGGGTAAGGTTTATAAGCCTCCTCAGCTATGGCATCGGAGTACCTTAGATTGTCCGATGTAGACCCGGCTATTGACTTCACGGCTTTCGTTATTTTAAATAAGTATTGTTGAATTAAGTATAGGTATTTACTTCTTGTTGCTACGTAGAACCTTTATGTTCGTGCCTTCGAAGACGCAGTCAGTTCGCGAAGGGTACACGTTCTTGAGGTTCCCTTCAAGATCTACCACTTTGACCTGGTGAAAAAAAGAGATGTTATATGAGTAAAATAAATAAAGCTAAGATCAGCTTATGAGTAAAACAGACAGATAGATAGAAAGACGAAACATTTGAGTAAGATATCGCGTAATCTTTAAAAAAATATCGCCAGTTTATTTATTTGATATGTATATACAACATATAATATGTATAAAACACAGGTAATCATATTTACATACTGAGGTTCGTCCGTGTTGTGAATGTTTCGATTTTGTAGTATAATCGTAGAAGAATTTTAATTGTGGGAGAGCCATGCTTCGGCACGAATGGGTCGGCTCGACCAGAGTGATACCACGGCCTCACAGAAAACCGGCGTGAAACAACCACAGCGTTGTTTCGCCGTGTAAGCGAGGTTACCGTTAGACCGTCGAGGTTATTTGAGAACTGACTGTAGCTCGAAGTTTGGAAAGCTCCCTAAATATATCAACGCGAATGCGGCTCGCATGACGGTTAGTAATAAACGCCGCCCATGGAAACTGGCAACACCGAAGCTTTGTAAGAGTGTTGCCAGTTATAGATTATAGATATGATAGATTTGGGAGATTCGAAACTTTAGAGAAATGGTAGTAGTTACTACCTATTTACATTCATACCTTATCCGTTTAATATAAGTTTGTAGGTTTATCATACTTACTTGCTGCACAGTCAAAGTGTTGTAAACGGAGCCAGGTTCTAATTCAGGCCCAATGCCCAACAACAGGCACTCTTGCAGCAGCTTGTTCATGACCGTCTTGCAGGCCCCGAGCGACGTGTGTGATGTCACTTCGACCAACATCGACTTGCTGTTTTGCGACATCTAAGGAATATTTTGGTTATAGTATAGACAGATAATTAAATATGAATAGAAAAAGTAGGGTTTATTATACTTGTAAACTTTATCTTTTTTACAAGTAGCCATCTTCTCTCTTTCTCTCACGCAAAGATAGGTTAGAGACATTATAAGTCTATAATATTATACAAAGATTATTTTTTATATGCACAATGCACATCATTGCATTGTACCTTCCTGCTGTCTGTCCTTATGTATGCTTAGATCTTTAAAAGTACGTGACAGATTTTAATGCATTTTTTAATTGATAGAATGATTCAAGCAGAAGATTTATATGTACAATTATCTAAGGTAACACATTAAACTTTTTCTACTAATATATAACTTTTTTATTATTATATTTTACTGTACCTTAGTTTCTTCGGAGTTAGTGATTGGTGGGAAACTGATAACCTTGCCACTGGCATCTTCCAGGCATGGATACAGGGACTTGCCTTCCAATAAGTACAGGTATCTGAAACAAATCATAAATTAGACATAAACCAATAAGATGTGCATAAGACAATGCAAGTATTTAATGAGTTTTTCTATTGAAACGGACATACTATGCTTATTATTTCTGGTAGGTATTTCTTTATTATAACTTTAAGGCCAGTTAAAAGTCGCCACCGTAAGCGCAAGCCTGCGGACGGCGAGCAAGGGTAGATCAGACCCGAACCAGATCCAAGTGTACATTGTAATTAGTATATATAAATCCCCATTGTTTCATAGTGTCTGCACAGTTAGTGCGGTGGCTGGGCATATGGCAGCCGCGCAATGTGTCGCGGGTGGGATTCCCGCACGGAGCAACACTAACCCCCGGTTTCCGATCAATGTTAAAATCAATTTAATCTCTTGTCAAGTCATTTGATTGGTTGACTGAATTATCAACAACCAATCAGATGACTTGACAAGAGATTTAACAGGAGATTGGTTAATTTTCCTTAACTTAAGCCTTTCAGAAACCGGGTCTGTGTGTGATCCACAAAATGTTGTTCTGGGTTTGGGAGTGTGTTTGTGAAATTGTATGTTTGTAAACGCACCAACGATACAAGAGAAAATCCTAATGGGGACAATGTTTTTTTATGAAAGAAAAATATTTATATACAGAATATAGGTACTGCTAAGTAAATAATAAATATTAATTAAGAAAATACTTACTTGTGTATTCCAGAGTAAACATTTCTCTTCTTTTCCTTCCTGAGAGCCTCTGCTTCAGCTGTCAGCTGCTGGAACAGTTGCTCTCCAGAGTAAGGCCTCACCCTTGACAGAGGTGTCAGTTTCAGAGCTGATGGGGCCTTTGCTGTGTAAACGAGGTCACCTGGTAACAGTACAGAATGATTTAAAGGTTGTGGAGGCTCAGATGTTTAAGTGCCGATTCTCATACATAAGGAAAGAAAATACAGCTTTCAATACCTGGAGTTATATGTATTTTCTATGTTTATGTAGACATCACTGACAAACGGTGAAAGAAATCATCGTGAAGAAACCTGGTCATATAATTTCAAAGAGTTGCTCCAATTTGCCTGGGGCAAATGTGGTTATTAATGCTCAAACCTTCTTGTGAGAAAATACACATGCGTAAATTGTATAGATTCAATATAAATGATGTTTATGATTTTTTTTATACATATACATTTTATTTATAACTTGTTTACCAAATAAATCATTATAATTATATTGCAAAACAATTTATTAGTTTTGAAGAGCTGATGGCAGTTGCATTAGGAAAATTACTGACATTTAGCCAAATCATACTCTTGTTAAGAATTACATAGTGCCAAATCAATTGGTAAAATGCCAATAATTATAACAACATCAATTTTATTCAACATCTCTTTCATAATTTTCATAGACACTGCAGAATAATAAAGAAAAATTATATATTCTCCAGTTGTTTACTGCTTCACTGGGTAAAACTAAGTTTAGAAACTATTTATTCAAATACCTGAGATAAAACCTCTACACAACATACCTGATATGGGTAATAAAAAAATATATTACCTGGAGCAATCTTTTCTAGGTCATGTGTAGCGATGGTAGCAACATTCCTTTTATCGCAGATTGTATCATGTAGCTTAGTTTGCATTTGAATGAACTTTTTGAATGACGTCTCATCAAAGTTCAAGTCATTTACAATGCAACAGAGTATATAAGGTCGTACACCAGCAACTTGAGACTCAATTATTTTCACTCGTAAGATATCATCCTCTACGTGAAGAATCTTCATTGCATGGCAAAGATCACATTCCTGTTCCTCCTGAGCTGGTTCTTCCTTTTTTCCTTTCTTTCCCTTAGTCTTGCCCGTAGGCTGGCTCTGGTCGGTTTTCGGGCAATGGTCTCGGATGTAGTCCATAACTTGTTTGGTCCGGCACTGGTCAACTAACTTCATGAACCTTTTGTCAGTAAACTTGTTGCCTTTGAGGTTTAATTCTGAAATATTATAATAAAATTTTTGTTTATTCTACATAGTCAAATTCGTTTCCTGCTGTCTGTCGCTATGTATGCTTAGATCTTTAAAACTATGCTACAGATTTTGATGTGATTTTTTTTTATAGAAAGCATAATTTAAATGGAAGGTATAGATGTGTAATTTATTGAGGTTTGTGGACAAATTCGTAGGCTGGAAACTGGAAGCTAGCTTTACAAAATTTTGCTGAGCATAAACAAACAAGTTGAGTCACTAGATTATACTATAGTAATTGAATTGCACAATGAATAAATTTTGTTAAGTATATGGTATGTAAGGAAAAACTTGTTGTGAAATATTGTAACAATTTCATCAGATTTTATTTATTTTTATTTATTTATTTCATGAGATTGAGAAAGTGGAAGGATAAATCAATAGTAAGCAATGATACTAAAAAGGCATGATTTAATTTTATTCTAGTTACATTTATTTTTTATTTATGGACACAGCTATCTTTATACTATATAAAATTAACTTATATTTCTGTCAAAGAATGAATATATACTTGAATATTTAAATCTATGCAAGACCAAAACAAGTATTTTTAATTTTTTTTAAATTTTCAACCACAAACAACAACAATTATTTTTCAATGCAGTAATGATTTGAAAGTTCTGGTAAAAAATTTAACTTGTTTCTCTTGGTATACAATAGTTTCCAACTAGTAAAATTCAATACTTATTTTTTTATTGAAATGTTTAAAACAATTGTATGTTTGAAAAATCTACATCCCAAGATATGATGATATAGTGGTCATATGTCACATTGCATGATTATTTGAAAAACTAGCTAAAATGAAGTATATTGTAAAATCAATGAATAAAACTGTGATTAAGTAATTTCTTGACCTAGGAAACTATCGGCTATTAAATACTGACCTTTTAATTTCCCCATGCTCGCCATTTCTCCAGGAACTGATTTCAATTGGTTGTCACCGATGTCGAAATTTTTCAGTGAGGGTAAGCTGCGAACTATGTAGCTGGGCAGTACTTCAATAGCATTTCCTTTTATCTTCAGATCAGTCAAATGAGCCAGAACAGCGCTTTCCAAGTCCAGAAAACTAGTCAGTTTGTTATTAGACATGTCAATTGTGAGCAAATTCGGAAAATCTGTGAATTTTGGCATTTCCTCAATTTCATTTGAACTTAGATTGATGTTAGTTAATTCTTTCATCTCATTTAGACTCTGTGGTATCTTCTTCAGCAAGTTCCTCGATAGATCAAGTACTTTTAATTTTTTCAAAGAGGTTATGTTTTCATTGAATTCTGTTATCTTGTTGCCGTATAACAATAAGGATTGTAGGTTCGCCAGCCGACTTATATCATCTGGTATAGCTGTTAGACACGTATCGCTAATATTTAAAAGGTTAATATTTGTTAATTGAAATATTCCTTTGTCTAAACCACCTTCCGTTATACGTTTCGATATAGCCGCACCCGCCAATTTGATTTCATGACGATTTTCCGACTTTGCAGTCGTAACTTCAGGCCACGCACTCATTTTGTAACAAAATTATAATCTGATATAATGTCAATGCAGTTGAGTGAGAATCTAATAAGAATTTAATTAGAAAAACGCGCGCCACGACGGTTGCAAGCAAAATTAAACAGAAAACATGAAAAAATAATGACAGATGACATTTGTTGACTCTTGACTTTAAGATGACATTCGATGAAAGAAAAAGAATGAATGACACAGATTACTATTAATTGGAAAGAATGAATGATCCGGATATTGTAAGTAATCACACAGGAAAATAAAAAATTACTTCAGAAATAATATTATAATATCTTTTAAGCGTTATTTTAATGATTAACACACACACACACACACAAATATATACATATACTGGATACGTGTATAATATTTTATGTAATATGTATGTATATGTGTATATATTATTTGATGTATGTATATATGTGTATGAGTCTGTATGTAAGTTTATCCGTTATTTATATTGTTATTTTTTTCTTTTTTTCTCTCTCCCGTATTTATTGTGCACTAGACTGCCCATTTCCAGTTTCACTTTTTAATTTCCATCCAAAGGTTGTCTGGAAGAAATCACCGTGAGTGATAAGACCGCCCATTGTCCACTCTGTGATTGTTAGCCTGCTCTTTGTATTAAATTTTAATGTTGTGTGCAATAAAGAATATATAAATAAATAAATAAATTAAAGTTTGTTCTTAATTTTTTCGCCGTCTTTTACAACTCTTTGGGAAAATAATGTCTCGAAATGTGATTAGTACCGTTTTTTAGGAATTTGCCTGTCTATTATAAGTATTTATAAGTTTTAGGTACTTTTTGTGTAAGTGCTTAAGTTCTGTCTAGCTAAATAGGCAACACTCAGCTTTGAAGAGTAGAAAAGCAGAAGAAGGGCATTTTAACGAATTGCGTTTAGGAGTTATTGTTTTACACAAAAAAGTAGATAGATAGCACTAACATTTTAAGTGCATTTAATAAAAGAACATAATTTTCCGTATCATACGTATTATGCATACCTATTAGGATATTCAATCGTATAGAATTAACGGTAAAAGGTGTACATTTTAAGGATAAAAAAAGAAGAAATCTTATTTTAGTTATAATGCCTCTTAAAAAAACGATGCCAACGATATTTTTTTTTGGTTCACTTACTCGGAACAACAATATGTGGATCACACAATTAAACCATCAATAATGCTGTGAAAATTATACTCTATGCGCACCAGGCTGTCATAGCTCACTCCAACAATAGTGCAACTTCTAACCGAATACGGTTAGGAGTTGCATTTACCTCATGGTCAACAATCAGCGTTACCCATGGACAACCGCAACAACGGATGAGTTACGAGTGCGTTGCCGACCTTTTGAGGATAAGCGTTTAAGAGATTTAAAAATTAGTGAAGGCTAGGGCACACCTACAATCTGCTCGTTAATCAAATCATAAAATATATCCAAGATTTCATGAAACAATCTTGCACACGAAATAAGACTTCAATTTGCAAATACGTATGAACGTCACTCGAAAGGTAGATAATGATAAAAAAACTATGCTGAATTTATATAATTAAAAACATAAATCATTTCCAAGCAAGATTACAAACGCTATCAGATAGATAGAGTTTTTAATTTTTGATTGATTGAGACGTTATTACTTAGATTAAGTTTTGTCATGTGGGGCGCGGTCGTGATTTTAGCTGTTGTTGTTGCGGTAATAAAATTATTTTACTTATTATTTATACAATTGGAAAAAATTCATTGGTAATTGCCAGGTTTCGAATCTTATTCTTACATAATTTAATTTTACGTCATTTTAGCTAAGGAAAGGAATGTCTGAGCTTTGATAGTAAAAAGAGTGATTTAAGAATATATTTTTATATTATTTTAATATAATGATAACGAAAATCATCGTGACCACCAACTTGACAGGCCATTGTTTTTTTTTGAGTGACTACCTATATTTTTTTTAAATTTATTGTTTATTGTTCGTTATGTTTTTCTCAGGCTTCCGCCGACAGCGTGCTGCAGGCATCTCCTGAGTTGTCACCACTTGGTAATTTATCTATTATATTATCGTTATTCAAATCTGTGGTTTTGCTTGCCCTTAGTCTAGTTTTTTTTTGAAACTTATAGTTTTGTTACTTTTTTCTTTTATTTATAAAAAAAATATAATAAAGTCGTAATATTATTACGAATTTTGTAACATAAATGGATTGGGTAAATTGAATGTGTAAGATTCTATTAATGGGTTCATTAGCTAATTGACAATAGTTAATAGACTAACTAAAGGGTGGGCATAAACCAATAATATTCTACAGGTCTAAGGTCCACGGGTGCGATGATCGCATACCGACCGATAATCCATGTTGTTACATCACATGTCTACTGATTTATCCAATATCCCAAAATCATCTTTGCAGATTCCCGTATAGTATCAGGATGGGACGCTCAAGAAGACCAGTTCCCGTACATGCTATGGCTGCGTACAGTACGCTGGACCGGTGACATCACGGCCTGCGGTGGCTCCATCATCCATCGCAGCTGGGGAGTCACCTCCGCTAGATGTACTGCTCAGTAAGTATCAAATTGGCGATTAATATTGCACTACTACTTTTTAAAGGAAGAACCAAGTCGCCGCGTACTCTGCTCATGATTATGAGCCGTTCAAACAAAACGAGTATTCTTTTCTTTATCTAAAACGTGGGGAGTCATGCTTCGGCATGAATGCGCTGATCCAACCCATAGAATATAAAATGTTGGTTCCACCGGAGTGACACTACTGCCTCACAGATATCGGGAAAACTATTAATTAGTAAGTATTTCACTTCCAAAGTTTTTATTTATGTCAGAAAATGGGACAAACGGTGTGATCTTTGTAGGTACTATTTAAATCTATACTAATATTATAAAGACGTAAAATTTGTAAGTTTGTATGTAGAGGGTAATCGTTGGAACCGCTGGTCGGATTGCCAAAATTCTTTCACTGATATATAGCTACTGTATTCCTGAGTGCTATAGGCTATAAAACATCACGCTACGATCAAATGGAGGAGAGCAGCAGGTGAAACCGCGCGATAGTAGCTAGTTATAAATAAACCGAGCAACATAGGATTACACATTTTTATCTCTAGATGATTAAGCAAAAAAAATGTGATACTGATTGTAAAAGAGGAGTTTATTGTTCATTCTCTCTAAAAATATAAGAATTTAAATAGTCTCTCCTTAACTATTTAAATTTTTATATTTTTTTGTTTGTTGATGTTCAAAAGTGCCTTCAATCGCCAAAATTAATTTAATTTGATCCCTCATGTTAAGGCGACAATGGCCCGTAGATATAACCTTAAAAACATTTTTAAATCCATGAACCACTTTTCGTCTATCCATTACCGAGAATTTCAAAATCCAATTTCTTATCCAGACGCATCGAAATCACAATCCATGCTGGAAGCATCTACCGCAGTAGACCGCGTGTAGTCCTCCAGGCTCGAGACACCTTCAGGCCACCAGGTTATGATGACGCTATGCAGCCCATCACCCAACCTAACGACATCAGTCTTATGAGGTTCAGCTCTGATCTTACTTTTAACCGTAAGTATTATGACTTGGGATACTGTGTTATAAAAATTTAATAAATCTGAATGATAGTTCATTTCAAGGTCAAAGTGTTTGTTCTCCTGAAGTTACTAAGGAGTCTTAGGTTTAAAGTGTTGGGACTTTGATGAATATAATTCGAAATAAAATGAAATTTGTGACCAGTCGTGGTGGCCCGGAAGTTAAGGCGTGAGAAGCGGACTTTTTTAGAGTTATATGTGGATACTTTCTACGATTAGTTGGACACGACTGACATTCGGTGAAGGAAAATATCGTGACTAAACCTGAACTTAACATTTCTAATTATATGTTTGAAATCGACAATTCACCTTGCATATGCGTTAATGATCAAACCTTTTCCATGTGAGACTGCCTTTGCTCAGCAGTGGACAATTATAGGCTGTTGATGTGATGAGAAATTTAGCATGGTAACAAAACAGTAAGTATCTCAAGTGTAGTAAAGAGCGTAATGATGATCTGCGACGCGCCTCAGAGCATGAGAAGGAACGAGGTGGTTTTTGGCCGTTAAGAGACACCTGACACGTCTTCTCGCCTCACCCAGGGTAGACGAAGTCATTGCATGATTTCCCTAACCTCAAAAAAGCATTGGCATTGGATGCACCCACCTATTGATATTAATAATATGTCGAATTTCCACAATTTCAGTAAAGAAATCGATAATCAGCTTAAATAAAAATTTCCAGAGCACATCCAACCAATCAGGCTGCAGCGTTCGGAAGATAAAGACCGCGATTACACCGGTGTCCGTATGACTACGAGCGGTTGGGGAACCCAGTGGACGTGTCTCGAACTCGGATGTGAGTTGTTGTAACATTTCTAAAGTTTATCATCTCAATTTTTATCATCTCGAAACTTTTAATCATCAGACGGATTACCAATCCATTCAGCACCGCCCGTGAGCACTGGTAGTAATACCAAGGAGTTACAAGGGCGTTGCCGGCCTCTTGTGGGTAATTAGGGATAGGGTAATTATGTAGGTAATTTTGCATAGGGGATTTGAGGATTGAGGATTTGGGAGGGAGGGAGAATTGTGGCTCTGGTAACCTGACTCACACGGCAGTTAGTCGCGACGCCGTGGTTGTTTCACGCCAGTTTTCTATGAGGCCGTGGTGTTACTGCAGTCGAGCGGGCGGGATTGTGTCGACGGCTCTGCCACACTTAACTTTACATCTGAAGAGACTTTTTTTATTTTGTAATAGGCAGACATTTGCTATCACGCCTGGTGGTAAGCGATGATGCGACCTACGTTGAAGCACGCCTACCCATAAGCAACCGATTCGCTCGCGCCTTCAAGACCCTTAGGGGAACAAGGCTTCACTTCAAATAAAGAATTACACTCCTAAGCAGTTCTAATAATAAAACTGGAGACGTATCCCTTTGTGCGTGAGTGGGACATCCACCATGAAGCAATGTCGTGTTGTCTGATGGTACGATGGTGGAAAGGACTAAGGGGAAAATGTCGTGCAGCTCCCCTGACCATTCTCCGAAATGTATCCGATAAAAGCCGAAAGACTCGCAACTAAGAAAATAATTTCAAAATTGTGTATTTTTATGCATATATTGGGGGTTTTTTAAGGTTACACTCCTGATAGACTGCAGTGGGTGCACCTGAATGGAATATCAAACTTCATGTGCCTGCTGATGCATAACTCCAACTACCTGGTCAGGCCGTCCACCATCTGCGCTGGGCCATACAACGTCACCAGCCAGTCTATATGCTCTGTAAGTTTTTATGTATCACTAGCTACTTCCGCGCGGTTTCACTCGCTGCTCGGCGTCATTTGATTGTAGCGTGATTTTTTATAACCTTTAGCATTTGGAAACATTGTAGCTACCAATAAGTGAAAGATATTTGGGAATCAGACCAGTGGTTCCACAGATAAGTCCCTACATACAAACTTACTAACTTACAAACTTACGAACTTACAAACTAACAAATTTTACTTCTTTATAATATTAGTATACATTGTCAGCGTCACTAGCCTATAAGTGCACACTGCCGAGCAAAGACCTCTTTCCACACGAAGAAGGATCGAGATTTAATCACCACGCTAGCCCAAGGCACTTTGGTTTTTTTAAGAAATTATAAGACTAGGTTTCCTCGCGATCTTTTCCTTCACATTACCTAAATTGGTGTTTAAATAATCATTACAAGTGCATAGGTACCCGGAATAAGTCACATTGCTACTAATATTGTCAGATTTGGAGTCCGCACTCATGTACGAGAAGTTTTGGCACTAACCTCCGGGCCATCACCGCATTTTTATTTAAAATGGGGCTTGCCAATATTCCAATATTCTCATGTAACTCTCAAATAATTGCTTTTTTGAGACGAACTTAAGACTTAAGCCAACACCGCATTAATAGAAATATTGATATCGGTGTAACCATCTATGTGTGATGATATGACCGATGGAATTGGGATACATACATATATATATATATATATATATATATATATATATATATATATATATATATGTATGTATCCCATATATATATATATATATCAATATGGTAATATCTCGTAGGTTTGAATAAGCACTTTTGTCTGGCTTGGTCGTTTGGTCAGACACCACGCATTAGGCAATGCAGACCGTTTTTCTGCAGATCGAAATTTAAATACAATTTTTCTCAAGTGATAAAAATTAGACGTACACAAAAACCGACTAAAATCTGAACCTCACAAACTGCAAATCCTGACCCTTATGTAGGAAGTACACACAGTAAAATAGAGAGGTGTTTTCATTATCTTAATGGATCTTCTATGGAAAAATGCCATGTTCCAGGGTGATAGTGGTGTTCCTTTGACTGCTGTAGAAGATGATGGAGTGGTCACACAAGTTGGGATTGGTTCCTTTGTCTCCGGTTTCGGGTGCCATGTTGGTATGCCTGGCGGTGAGTATCAAGGATTACATTTTTTATTAAATAATACTTTGACCCACACTTGGATTTTCCCCTGTGTGGGGTGCGTTTACAGACACACAATTTCATATACACATTACACCCACACCGGAACAACTCTTTGTGTGATCCACAAATTGTTGTTCCGGGTGGGTATCGAACCCGCGACATGTAGCCAATTGCCTAGCCACTGCACCAACTGTGCAGTCAAGCAGATTACTTTTTTATAAAAAGCTTTTGTTTTATGTCATGTAGGTTTTGAAGCATTTTTAAGCAATGTAGCTGATTTTGTATCCACGTTTAGTTTGCGTAACCATAAATGCTAAGCTGTATGACATTACACTATATACATAAAAATGTGTTTAATATATAGAGTTTTGGGGCTTATTGAGCCACCTGATTAACATTTGTCGAATTATTTTTCAAATTTATATTTTTCAATGCCACAGTTTGAACACGTATTCCCACAATCTAAGATTGGGGAGGATAATGTTTATTTTTTATTTGAAATTACGATTTTAATCAATCAACAAATTGAATATGTCTCATTATAAGTATAGTGTGTACAAGAACACACCATTTTTGCGAAATTAAGTAAATACTTTATTGGGACTGTTTTCGATGATAGGTCGAATTTGTTAGTTGGCGTCAACGGGCTTAAAACTGTTTTACAGGCAATGTTTAATTCCAGAACAATGCCAGGATCATTAGGTGTGTGATTAATTTCAACTCCTGTTTGTGTATAGGTTTCACTCGGCCCGGCTACTACCAGGATTGGATCCGCCAAGTCACTGGAATCAACTTTGACCAGCGCAGTGTACCAACCGAAGACCCAGTCGATGTAGATCTTACAGAAAATGAAAAATATTCTAAACCCCAAGAAGAATATATGGCATAGTTAAAACTTAAGCGTATTCTTATGTATCTACTACAAAAGGTGTTTAAGAGATATTGAAACTGATTTCCGCTATGTTTAAATCCATTTTAGTTGTTTCTTATCCCTACTTTCTTTTAAAACCCAACCTAAAGCTTCAAAAACACCTTGTCGCTGTGTTTGACGCCTAAAACGACAACAGCGCCATTGTTATGTTTCATATTCGCGAACTACGAAAAAGCATTTTTATCACAATCCTACATTAAAATTTTATTTTCTATACTTATAATAAATATGTAGAGAGGTCAATATATGATGTTCCTATCTATTGTAATAGCAAATCTGCTATTATTGCATTTCACCCCAGTAGGGCAAGCATAATCGGGGCAAATCCATGTGGTTAAATCCCTCAGATGCAACGAATATAATTGAAAACTATAAAACAAAAATATCTGCGCACTGCATCTTTTTGGGCATGTGACTGGATTGTATAATAGTTAATTACCTTAATAAAAATTAATAACCTCACAAACAATTAAACATTTTTATTGTTTTCGATAATGAACTGCTTAAAAACATAGGTATATTGCCCAGTTTTAATCAACTATTTGTGAAGTAATGCATTCCGTTGCAAATAAATGTGATAAATTAACAAAAGGTGTATTTCTGAAGAGTGGTCTTTATTCGGAGCGATGTGGCGATGCCGGAAAATTGAAGAAATACTTTATTTATTCTTTGGTAAGTTATTTTCTCAAAACTGAGATATTATGTACAAAGATATTGATTTATTTATTTATGCTTCGCACGCGTCTCCCACTAACTCTCTTACGACCAAAGTGTCCCTATTTCCCACATCTCCCCTCTACTTTTCTAGAATTTTCTTTCATAAGAACCTTTTCCTGACCATAACAAACACATCAAAAAAAGAATTGGCAAAATTGGTCCAGGCGTTGTTGAGTTATGCGCTTACCAACACATTCTGTGATTCATTTTTATATATAGAGACTAGCGGCCCGCCCCCGCTTCGCACGGGTCCAACTATCTCGCTATGAAAGGGTAACTTTTTCCTGATCTTCCCCTCAACTTTTCTAATATTTCCTTTGATAAAAACCTTGTCCTGACAATAACAAACGCAACAAAAAAAGAATTAGCTAAATTGGTCCAGGCGCTGTTGAGTTATGCGCTTACCAACACATTCTGCGATTCATTTTTATATATAAGATAACATACAAAGCCGGACTTATCTATAGACGCAAGGCATTCTCTACTAGTCAACCGTAGGGGTGACGCGGGTATTTTACAGATGCAAAAACAATACAGGTACATAGGTACATACAAACTGTATAAATATCCTATCTATATCTACATAGCTTTTAATTAGTCCAAGAATAACATAATTAAATGTACAATAAGTGGACTGTAATTATACATACATTAACAATATTGTATGATAAAGCTTTATTAGAAACTAGCTAGTAGCTCCTATCCCCGGTTTTATCTGCAGCTGGGCTCCTGTTGGTCTTTGGTCTTAGGGTGATGTTTAATAGCCTGTAGCACTATCAATATCAGTGAAAGAATTGACATGGTTGAGAGGAGGCTCCCTAACTTTCCATCACCATCCCCAGGATGGTCCAGGATATAATAATCGCGAAGAGTTTATTTATTTAGCACCTACCATAGAGGCCGATCATGGTTTTTTTATAGGACAGGTCGGTAAACGAGCTTTCGGATCACTTGATGGTAAGCAATCGTCGCCGACCATGGAGAACTACAAAATTGAAGAGTTACAAATGCGTTACGGCCTGATGAGGAAAAGATTGGGCCTCCACACTCAACGTAATAGTTTTTTATTATGTCTGATTATTCTTGTCAAGTCTGCCCATCCGTTTGGAAACAGGATTCTCCATTTCTCCCAAGCTGAATCGTATGCTTACATTGACATTGTTACAGTTGCATGTGTAATAAGCGAACATTTTACAAGTGCGCAGTTACGGGAAAATGGCGTACAACTCTCCAATAATAGAAGAATGGAACCCCCAAAAAGTAAGTCGGCCAAACCAAAACTGTGGGTCGCCGGACATTTACAAAACGATAGAAAACTCATTCATGAGAAATTAGAGAAATACAAATCGGCAATTGATAATGACATGGAATCGATAGCTTCCAACGCAAGCTTCCGTAGATTCGACCAAGAAGCATTTTTACAACCGCTTAGGAGATCTAACTACTATTCAAGATTGTTAAAGAATATGTCAAAAATGTACCCTTCTGATGAAATGAAAGAAAATATAAAACTGTGCCACATTATCGCTTCTACATATGCGAACTTGTAAGTTACATCCTGTTATTATTTTTAATAGGATAGCAGTCTGCGGTTTCCTTGGAATACTAAAGTTACAAGAAAGTTGCCGACCCTTCGTGGGTGTCAGGAATTTGAGACTTGGGGATAGGTATTAATTAGAAACCGTAATTCAATGAAAAAAATGGAATAAGGAATCAGCCAAAAATTCTAAGTCCCAAGTGTTAGCAGATTTAAATGGACACAAAAGCATTCAACATCAATAGTGTCCAGGGATCATGGCCATATTAGTCGTTGACCGATGATCCTGATCCTGATTGCAACACGATGGCACGGGTGACGATCCTGATTTATTTCTATACTGATAAAATAAATACAAGCCCACATCACGTAATCCGTGCGCTCGTTTCAGTCCCTATTATATAGAAAAAAAAATGACTTTTTGAAGAGAACCATTTTCTGCAACACGCAACCCGTCGTGAGGTCCCTCACGCACATGATGGTGTCGTCTGTGGAGAGCCCTCTGCTGAAGCCGAACTGACCATCCCATTTAATACATGGATGTCAAGAAATTTAGGTCCTGATTAGCCACCTCCTGATAAGTCCCCGATAAACTTAGGTTGCACAAATATTATGGACCTGGGTACGTCCTAAAACTGCGACCAGACACCGAGGAATGGGGAGCAGCATTCTTTAAAAATTATCGGTGACCTAACTGCGCTCGCCAACCCGCCTGCCAAGCGTGGCGAGTATTGGCAAATCCCCCCCATATGAACTGCTCAGATAAAACCAGGCCCCCAGTCTCCGGCAGTCCCGCCGTTCCTGGCTACCGTGGTAGCGGTCAGGGGAACGGCGGGACACGGGGTGCTAAGAATCCCCGGAGGTGGAGAAAAGGCTACCACCCCCGACGACGACTGGCCCTGGTAACACACAATGTTCGCACTTTGAGGACAGACGAGAAGATTATTGAGCTGGAAGAGGCATTGGGTAGGTTGCACTGGAGTATTGTGGGGTTGTCAGAAGTCCGACGAGAGGGCGAGGACACGATAACCCTAAGATCCGGCAACCTATTCTACTACCGGGAGGGCGAACAACTGTCCCAAGGTGGTGTCGGGTTCCTCGTCCACAGGTCCCTCGTCAACAACATTCTTACCATCGAAAGTGTGTCGAGCAGGGTGGCCTACCTGATACTCAGGGTATCCAATAGATACTCGTTGAAGGTTATCCAGGTTTATGCACCGACCTCGACACACCCAGACGAGGAAGTAGAGGTTATGTATGAGGACATAAGTAGGGCCATACATACTAATAAAACCTACTTCAATGTTGTTATGGTGGACTTCAACGTGAAACTGGGAACTCGAGGCGATAACGAGCTGAGAGTGGGGCAATTCGGGTATGGGCAACGGAACCACAGGGGACAGAGACTGGCTGAGTTCCTGGAGAAGGTGGACCTCTTTGCGATGAACTCCTTTTTCCAGAAGCCGTATAACAGGAAATGGACCTGGATGAGCCTGGACGGTTCCACAAAAAATGAGATCGACTTCATCATGACAACAAAGCGACAGATGTTCAATGATGTCTCTGTGATCCATAAAGTAAAAACCAGCAGCGATCACCGACTGGTCAGAGGCACATTGAATATCAATATAAAGCTGGAAAGATCCCGTCTGATGAAGTCTACGCTCCGACCTTCAAATGCACATATCGGTTGTCCCGAGAGCTTTCAGATCGAGCTATCGAATCGTTTTGAGTCCCTGGAGAATTGCGAGTCAGTGGACGAGATTAGCAACAGGTTTGTAGAAACTGTCCATGCGGTCGGGTCGAAGTTTTTTAGACCCCGCCGAAAAGACAGACCGCAGAAGCTTACCGATCACACCCTCAAACTCATGGCAGAACGACGTGCTATGATACTCCAGACCTCTGTAGATGCTAAAGCACATCGGCAGCTCAATAGACAAATATGGAAGTCCATGCGACACGATATCCGCAACTTTAACGCCAATAGGGTTAAAGAAGCGATAGAGCGGAACCAAGGCCCCAAGTGTTCGCTAGGGACATGTCTATTGGGCAAACACAGCTGACAAAGCTGAAGGCGGAGGATGGCAGTGTGGCGTCGACGAAGGCGGAAGTTTTGGGTGAGATCGAGAGGTTTTATGGGCAGCTATACACATCGATCACTAAACCTGTTAGCTCAGTCGCCGATCCAAGAGCTAAACTCACCCGACACTATACCGAGGATATCCCGGATATTAGCCTATACGAGATTAGGATGGCCCTCAAGCAGCTCAAGAACAACAAGGCGCCGGGCGAGGACGGAACCACATCAGAGCTTCTGAAAGCGGGCGGAACGCCGGTACTGAGAGTCCTTCAGAAGCTCTTCAACTCCGTCATATTCGAAGGAGCAACGCCGGCGGCATGGAGCAGAAGTGTGGTGGTACTATTCTTCAAGAAGGGAGATAACACTCTACTGAAAAATTATAGACCCATCTCACTTCTGAGCCATGTCTACAAGCTATTTTCGAGGGTCATCACAAATCGTCTCACACGTAGGTTCGATGACTTCCAGCCACCCGAACAAGCCGGTTTCCGGAAAGGCTATAGTACCATAGACCACATCCATACGCTGCGGCAAGTTATACAGAAGACCGAGGAGTATAACTTGCCACTATGCTTGGCGTTTGTGGACTATGAGAAGGCTTTTGATTCGATCGAGACTTGGGCTGTGTTAAGATCTCTCCAGCGGTGCCATATTGACTTTCGGTACATCGAGGTTTTGAAGTGCTTATACACAAACGCCACTATGCCGGTCCAAGTACAGAACCAGAGCACGAAGAATATTCCTCTGCAGCGAGGTGTAAGGCAAGGAGACGTCATATCTCCGAAACTGTTTACCGCTGCATTGGAAGACGCTTTCAAGCTCTTGGAATGGAAAGGATCTGGCATCAACATCAACGGCGAGTACATCACTCACCTCCGGTTTGCCGACGACATTGTGGTCATGGCAGAATCGCTGGAGGATCTGAGCACAATGCTCGATGACCTCTGTAGAGTTTCTCAACGGGTAGGGCTCAGAATGAACATGGACAAGACGAAAGTCATGGCAAACGGGAAACTACGCAACATCTTCTCGTCCAACTTACCTCAGTGCCTTAAGACGAAAGTCTATAATCAATGTGTGTTACCAGCGATGATCTATGGAACTGAAACATGGTCTCTTACTGTGGGCCTTATAAAGAAGCTCAAGGTCGCTCAGCGCGCTATGGAAAGGGCTATGCTCGGAGTTTCTTTGCGAGAC